AAAATGTGTGCAATTCACACGTGGTAGAAGTGAAACCTTCCAAAATTAAAATACAATTATCCTAAACGTCTTAAGTATATGTAAAATTTTGTCATTAGTAAATAATTGTAAGGTAGCGCCCTCTGTGAATTGATATTTTAATTTCACGTATAATCCTAAATTAAAATTCACTACAAGAGCTTTCATACACACGTTAGTATTAAAAAATCTCACAGATGGCGCTGTATTAAATAGTATGTATATTTCTGTCTCATTCTTGGCTGGCTTCATCCTACACATTTTTGTATTTGTGTCTCTTACCTGTCGTTTTTTCCGTTGCATCCGGTTTGAAATCACAACGAATCTAAAGTCACTTCAAAAAAATTCAGCTATTTAAATGGAACAAACATAATTGAAGTTCAATTAATAACATCGAACTGTTGATGCCAATACTAAATAAAACGGACCTTTAATTAGGAAGATAAATGTCGCGTACCTATTAAGCGAAATGTCGCTTTAACCAAATAGCTGACTTAAATCACCTGACGATATAATAAAAAAAAGGGAGATTAAAGCATAAAAATAGATTTCATTTTGTTTTGTTTGCTTTTGAATTGTAGAAGGAATATTGAAGCATATTTATAGGCCCGGTTTAGTCTTAATTAGTGTCTTAAGGCAGCACATTTAAGAAAGATTATATATTAACAAACAATATTTGCTATGTGTATGTGCATTACTATAATTATCATGTTGTATTTGTTATTTTAGCTGTTCTACACACACACTCATCACTTTTAATTATTATTTTCATAATCCTCTTGCAGGTCTGCTGGAAGAGATTTCTTAAAGAAATAAGCAGTGCCTTTGTACATAATTTTCCTATTACTCTGTACTATGTCTTCTTTTTTGTGTGTACATAAATAAATAAATAAAGAATACTTATAAACTAAATGTAGTAATTGCTCTTTGAATATTTAATTGCCTGTGTGGAAGCAAGGCAAAACAATGTTCAGCGAATATTTTTGTCCAAATCATTCCTAATGTGTGTTTAAATCAAACTATTTCTTATACGAAAGAATAATTAAAATATACCGAACAATTAGGATGCTTATAGTTTAAGCGGTAATCAAATTAGTTTTGACTACAACGACATCATGACGTATGATGTCGTTGTCAGTTTCAACATCAAATCATCTATAATAACATTAAGGTTTTCTAAAAACTAGAGGTCCCGCAGTAGTCGAAATTCGACTATAATTAATTGGAATTGTTAGTTTGTACACTATTATGATTCTATTTTATACTTCTATAATCACAAATTTCCCCAAGGCTACACTATAAAAAAATATTAATAAAGACAAACAGTACCTATTTAATCTATTCTCAATTTGACAACAGACGTCAAGAACAAAAGTTTGACAATAAATAGTACGCATGCGTGTGTGCGTCAAATACATGGTAATGTATGTAGTGTGTGTAATGTTTTCTTTATTGATTTAATGTATCTTTTATGCATTATTTAAAAAAAATATTAGCATTGTGCACTTCTTCTCTATATTCTCTATAAGTGTGGAAGATTTCATATTCCTCCGTCCGCGCAATTTTCGTAAAAAGGATACAAAGTTTTTGCTTCACGTATTAATATATAGATACTATATTACTTCTGACGTTAGTCTAAATTTTATTGGCGAGGGACCAACATTGATAGTAAAAAAAACAGTGATAAAAAGGATTGAGAGAGTGGTTCCGGTTACGAACCCCGATGGGTTCTAAAGGACCAAGCAGTCCCGATGGGTATTCGGAGTCACTATAAAAATTGGGGTCACGAGAAGTGCAAAAAAAGATGTACTAGTGCTGTAAATAAAACGTGGCTAAATTACGTGCTGTAAGGCTAGACAAGGAAATTCTGCACGGGTAGGCACCGCCACCCTGCCTATTTCTGACTTGAAGCAGTAATGTGTTTCGGTTTGAAGGGTGGGGCAGCCGTTGTAACTATACTGAGACCTTAGAACTTATATCTCAAGATGGATGGCGAATTTACGTTGTAGGTGGTTACACCAGGTGGGCTGTGAGCTCGTCCACCCACATAAAGCAATAAAAAAAAATTCAAGTGATTATCATTATCATCATCATCAGCCTATAGCAGACCACTGCTGGTTATAGGCCTCTCCAATTGCTCGCCATTGAGCACGATCCTTGGCTTCTCTCATCCGGCTTCTGCCTGCTATCCTGCACAGAACATCACTCCACCGAGCCCGAGGTTCAAATTTAAGTATTCATAGTAACTACTAAATTATTATACAAAAGTGAGTGAAAGTGGTTCTTTCTTACATGAAACTAGGAAGCATAAACGGAGTCCTCCTAATTTTTTTTAATATTGGAGTTGGTTAAATTACATACTTTTCCAATTCCATTTCGCGTATATGAAAATTTTCAACAATAAATTCCGAATTTAATTGAGGATTTTTTAAAGCTTATTACCATGCCCATATCAAATGATGCATCATAAAAGCTTAAAGGATTTTAATCCGCATAGCAAACAGAAATATTTGTTCAAAGAATTTCTAACAAGACGATGGAACGAATATATTCATGTGTTTATTCGCTAAGTGAACCAGTTTTGTATCAGTGTTTATTCTTCACTTCACATTGCCATATTTTTCGTAATATCATGATAGGGTTAGCAAACATTTTTTTTAGTTCCTTAATTTTTATATTTTTAAAGAAAATACTATCGCCGTTGATTAGCAATCCAGACGGAGAAAGAGGGAACACTAATGTTACTTGGTGTTTTTTTATTTTTTTTATGCCCTATTAGGCAGATGAAGTCGTCGTGGCCTAAAGGATAAGACGTCCGGTGCATTCGTGTTGAAGCGATGCAACGGTGTTCGAATCCCGCAGGCGGATACCAATTTTTCTAATGAAATACGTACTCGACAAATGTTCACGATTCACTTCCACGGTGAAGGAATAACATCGTGTAATAAAAATCAAACCCGCAAAATTATAATTTGCGTAATTACTGGTGGTAGGACCACTTGTGAGTCCGCGCGGATAGGTACCACCGCCCTGCCTATTTCTGCCGTGAAGCAGTAATGCGTTTCGGTTTGAAGAGTGGGGCAGCCGTTGTAACTATACTGAGACTTTAGAACTTGTATCTCATGGTGGGTGGTGCGTCTACCTATCTACCTACCTAGCTATCTATGGGCTCCAGTAACCACTTAACACCAGGTGGGCTGTGAGCTCGCCCACCCATCAAAAAAAAAAACGAGCGGACGGCCCACCTGATGGGTAGTGGTTACCGTCGCCCATGGACTTTAGCAATGTCAGTAGTAGTCGCTAGTAGGTGAATAAAGACTGGGGCTTAGTTTAAACGATATGTACTCGTAGGCATTGTTGGGTAGAGTCGAGAACAGTAATCCTGTTTATTGCGATAAGTGCAAGACTAACAAGCGACAGCCCTAGTCTCTCTGTTAGCAAAGTAATGTGCGAGTCTAGTCGATCCTATGATATTTTTGTAAACTAGTTTAAATGCATCATTCCGATATTTCTTGTGGGAATGAAGGCTTCGAAACAAATATGTATATATATTATATAAATATATTGTGTGAATCGTTCGGTGCTCGATCTTGGAGAATTATATATAACGTGACCATTTTTTTTTTTCTCAAAGCGGGACATCTGTGGAATTATATAATAAGA